GCACGCACACAGTCCTTTCCCAGGGACCCTGCCCTGACCGCCCCTCTCATCTCTATGTCCTCTCAGGAGGAGAACGTGCTACAGCCCAGGAGGAAGCAGGGTTTTGCAGCCAGAGGGGAAGTTACGCCTCAGAAGGGTCAACGCATGGCACTGGAGGAGTTGGGGCAGGAGGTGAAAGTCTGCATGAGACGCTGCCAGAAGAGGAAGGGCTGAGAGGAGCCAGCTTTTATTGTGGCAAAAGCGGCAGAGTCTCCCGCAAAGCAGCTTAGGGTTCAGAGGAGCGCGATGAGTGAGGCTCATGTTGCACAGGACACAGGACGCTCAGGGAAGGACAGGAAGCTCTGAGGGGCGGGACCCAGGGGCGTGCAGAGCAGTAAGAGCTTACCAAGTTGCATTTCATGGATAGAGCATCTGCCTGCATTTGTTCATACTTTAGTAGAGCAAGAGAACTAGGTCAGCCTTAGATAAAACAGGGATAACATAACTCTCAGATGACAGAAAACAGCTGGCAGCTCTAGCATCTGTGTGGGCCTGCTGAGCCGAAAGATTAAAAACAAACAGACAGAGTGGTGCCCCGTCCTTGCGGGGTGCACATGGCATCCAGGATGGGGAGGGAGAGGAGGCAACACCTCCTGAGACCTAACAGCCTGAGGTGCAGTGGAGAGGCCTGAAGGCGGATTAAACATGCAGGACCAGGGCCAAAACCAATGGAGTAACACACAACCTTTTTCTCTGCAGAAAAGCCTGCCCTCAGATTCTTCATTCACGTCAAATTGATGCCATTCTCTACCAACCGTCCTTGGCTACTGAAGTGGGTGTGGGGTGCACTACCCACTGACACACGCGTGGGGCTGAGCCCCAGTGCCCCCGTGGCGACAGTGTTGCTGCTGAAGGTGCTCAGAGAGGTGGTGCTCAGAGAGGGCCTGGGGGGCAGCTCAGAGAGGGCCTGGGGGGGCAGCTCAGAGAGGGCCTGGGGGGGCAGCTCAGAGAGGGCCTGGGGGGACAGCACACATGCCTCGGCTGGCCCAGTGCTGCTCACCAGGCGGCATCTCTGAAGGGCCCACCTGCCGGAGACCAATGCCAGCAGGACAGCAGGGCTGCACCTGGGATGGCTGAAGGCATTTCCCAAACCTGAACAGGATGCATTAAATTGATTCTTGGCTGCCAGACAGCTCAGGGCATCTTAATCTACATGTTATTGCCTCCTACTGGCCAAACACCTGAACAGCTGTAGGCTAATTCCCCCATTCTGACCAGGGACTCTGTACCAAGCCCTTACCCTTTGAAGTGTATATCTCTGCCTCGCCTCAGGACAAGTTGTGTTAATAAAAAGCATGGGGTCCTGGGGCGGAGAGAACCTAAGACCTTAGACTTAAGACCTTAGATCAGCCTTAGGCAAACTATGGCCCGCGGGCTGAATCCGGCCCATTTGAAAGGAATAAAACTAAAAAAAAAAAAAAAAAAGACCGTACCCTTTTATGTAATGATGTTTACTTTGAATTTATATTAGTTCACACAAACACTCCATCCATGCTTTTGTTCCGGCCCTCCGGTCCAGTTTAAGAACCCATTGTGGCCCTCGAGTCAAAAAGTTTGCCCACCCCTGCCTTAGATCTTAGCTCCTTTAGCTAAGCTCCTCTGACCCCCAATGCCTTTCAAAATTATATTTTGTCTCCAGGCTCTTTATTAGTCTCTGGATTCCTATTTAATCTACTCACAGCCCCTTCTCCAGATTCCTGAACCTTCCTTGGTGCTGGGACAAGAACCCCAGCACCCACCCAACTTCAAGCTCTGGTTTGGGGTCAGTGAACGCATGGACAGAATCCAAAGACAAGCTGCGTTTTCTTCTTCCCTTTTGCGGGGATCCCTTCTATTCTCAGGCCTGGGCCTTCTTTTCTCCAAGGAGATGTGAACCGCTTCTTGCATATCAGGGTCAAGATCTTAGTTTGGAGGGTCTGGCCCACCCAGGAATTAGACTAGAGTGGCTCCATGGGGAGAAGATAGAGGCGGGAAGAAGAAGGCCATGGCCAGTCCTGGAGGTGGACATCCTGACTGCTGACAAGATTGCTGGGAAATGGGGTGTCCTCCCCTCCTCATGTGATAACTCTCAGAATCTGACAGAATAGACACGTATTAAGGTGCAGGACCAGAAGCATCTGGGGTGGGGGTGGGGGGGGTGCACACTCCCTTGAGCAAATTTTCAAGATGGCATAGCCTTGCGCTAATTTTTAAGGAGATATGTTGATATGGCATTTGTTAAAAATGTATTTAAAAAAACGAACTTCAGTGCAGTGGGTGTTAAGTTCCTTAGCATCACCTAGATGGTTCACTAAAACACAGATTGCTGGTCCCTCCTTGAGTTCTGATTAAATAAATCCCGGGTGAGACTGAAGTTTGCATTTCAAATGACTGTCCAGGTGGTGCCGAACCTGCTGGTGCCCACACTCCTGTCTTAGAGGAAACAGGGTGAGAGGGAGACCGTGAGGCGGAAGGAACTGGGCCCACGGTGTGTCTGTCCTTGCGTGTCTGCCTGCTCAGCAGCCGAGCAGGGCCTCTCCCGCTCTCTCCGCTCCTGCCCTGGAGATGGGCAGTGGGCGCTGCCTCTCCCTGATGGCACTTGCCGCTCCCGGGCCTGCGGGCCCAGGTCCCGAATGGAGCTGCTGACTCTGACATGGACCATGCGGACCTGGGGGGGCAGGGCTGATATGTTCCCTGATGCAGTTGTGTAATATACAAGGGTGACTAGCAGAGCGAGAGAGTGGGGCCGGGGCTCAGCAGGTGCCCTCTCACCCAGCTGGGAACCTGGAGAGGGCAGCACTGGCCCAAGAAAGTTCTTTGCACAAAGGGTTCTCTGACCCTCAGACCGCACTCTGTCCTGAGGGGGAGGGAGGGGGTGGTGGGGTCCACCCGAGAGAGGTCCTTTTTCTAATTTGCATAGAGACCCCGTGTCATCTTGCAGAACCCTAGGTCAGGAGAGCAAAGTGGAGATGCAGCGGAGAGGGTCCTTTATGGTCTCCCCCAAAGACCTTGGGGCACATGTGTGAGTCTCCGAGGACACAACTTCCTCGGAGTGAAGGACGCTGGACCGGCTGAGTCCGCTGCAATCCGCTTTGGGATATAGAGGAATGCTGTGTCCCCTTCCCGGCGCACAATAGCTCAGGTGCCAGTCTCTGCACCCAGGGTGCCAAGCGCAGGCTGCTGCGAGCAGCCTCAGCAGGATGGCGGGCCTGGGGGGGTCACGCATCCGGCCCAGCCCCAGCCTGCTGAATCAGAAAACCTGGGTCGTGGCCCAGCTGCTGGGCTTAGCAAGCCCGCCCGTGATTCTGAATCAGGGTAGAGTGTGAGAGACACTGGCCTGGAGCTTCCCACCCCCAACAGGCCTCAGCATGTCCTGGGGATCTCATTCAATCTGATCTGACAATGAGGTCCCGGGAGCAATCTGCTCCTCTGACCAATGCAAATCAGGGCTGTGGGGGAGTGACAGACAGACCATTTCAGTCCATTGCTCGGGTGTAAACGGGCCCTGGGCCCTGCTTCTCTTTCTAGAACAGACACTAATCATATGTGGCAAAACGCAGGCTCTCCCGCAATGTGTCACTGCAGAACGGAACTGGCGCCCTGCACCTGCTCCAGAATCTTGCTCCCTATCAGATCTGGGTTAGAACTGGCTTTCAGCCTTCAATATTTTCATTATATTTTTATGTTGTTGACCATTTAATTTCTGTCTTTAATACAATTTTATTGTTGATAGTATTATACAGTAGATATCTGCCATTCTCCCCCTCCCCCCCCCCCGCTCCTCCCCATCCCCCAGCTCAATAGTTTTAGCTCTGTAAGGTTTTCACCCTTCTCTGGTTAGTCCTCAGCCTCCACTTTGCCATCTCACTGGATAACCTATATTTTGGGTTGTCATGGAAAACAACATCCTGATTTTAGTCTGGATGGCCGTTTCAGACCCAGAAACGGTGGCAGGGAGCCCAGAGCCTTCCCCCGTGTGTCTGGACGCTGCTCTGGGATGCTTTCCCAATGGCCATCCCTTCACTCGAAAGGGAGAGGAGATGGGCATGGAGAGGCCACCTGCTTTCCGGACCATTCATTAGATTTGCTGCTGGTGGTCTTAAACGACAGACAAAAATGGTGTATTCCTTTCCTATCCCAATGGCCATAGCATCAAGGTCAGCATTAGGGTGAATCAGTGAGCAACATAAATCTACCTGTTATTGTGACCATTCTTGAGTTGGATTTTAAAGGCAAGTATTTCCTCTGAATAACAGGGTAGAAATGTACTTTGGAAATGAACATCAAAGGACAATGCTATTTGTGATGACACAGAAATTCAAAAACAGTTTTAGAACAGGTGAATGGGCTTTGATGAGCTAAATCAAATTTAAAATCAAGGACATATTAAATATTGTTCAACCCTTAGCAAATTTGGCAGTGTTAAAAGGAATAAGTTATAATTCCTCAAACCCGTAGTTTAAATTTATGGATCATTGTTACAGGCAAGCATCTTTAAAATGTCGGCACAGGGTTGTTATCATAAATCTTATTTCTTGCTGATTCACCTGTTTTTGACCAATACTTCTTGGACCAAATTGTTCATCAATGTCAGAAAATAAGCCTGGTTATTCCTGGAGACAATCATGTGACACTGGTCAGTGTGAAGGCAATCTGGCCTCGGTGGCCAGCGGTGGTTCTGTCACAGAGGCCCTCCAATTAGAATGTGCTCACCTGCAACGTGCAGCTGGCCGCAGCGCATGGCCCCACTCCGGCTGCCTGCCAACTGCGTAGGGTTTTAATCTAGTATCTGGACGCGGAGAGAAAGGCTTATGTGGTTAGTGATGATTATAGTTGGTAACGTGAACGACCTAAAACGAAATAATCTGGCGCACTTTCAATGAAAGCATTTTAATTCATTGAAATCTCAGAATTGCAGCCCTGCCGCCGACTCCAGAAGCAGGCAGTAGGCGGCGCCTGGCAGCTCTTTGGGGGAGCCGGCGCCATTTACGCAGGACCAGCCACCAGCCTCGGCGGCAGCAGGCGCTCGGCGGCAGAAGTCGGAGACCCGAGCGGGAGGTGGAAGGCCGGGCTGCGGGGGCTGGGACCGCCCGCCCCGCTGGTGGGGCGGCGCCGGGGCGCAGAGCGCCGGGGGCAGGTGCGCGGGGCCGGGACCGCGGGCGCAGGAGCGAGGGGGGCGCGTGGCGGGCACCGGCGGGCGAGCAGCTGACGGCGTCGTCACGGCTGCGGGGGAGTGCGCGCCCCGCCTGCCTCGGGAGGAGCCGATCGCGCGGCGGTGCTGCCCGTCCAGGGCCAGGCGAGCGGGAGAAGCCCGGAGCAGCCGCACTTCCGCAGGTAACCGGCTCCCCGCGGGGCGGGGGTCGCGGCGCCCGCGCTGGCCCTGCGCGCTGGCCAGGGTGGGTGAGCCCCGGGCAGGGACCGCCGCCTCCGGGAGGGCGAGTCAGCAGAAAACACGGATGGCGGTGGCGAGGGCACCCTCAGCGAGGCGAGCATTGTGATACCCGGTTTAAAACAAGTTCTTTAAAAAAAAAAAACCCCACTGACATTATTTGGGACTTCTTCCAGAACTGAAGTTAGTGTTTTAGGAAAGTCTGTGGCTCAGGGCTTTCTATGAACGTGATGATTTAATGGGTTTATCGAAGTCCTGAGAAGATGTGGTCCAAAGTGAGAGGAAAGCAAGGCGTGGTGGAGGCTGCGGGAGCCGCTCTCCTGGCCGCAGCCCTGGGCTTGGCGGGGGCTTGGCTGATGTCTCGCTTCTCTCCTAAACATCGCGGGTCCCAGCTGCGTGTGCTCCTTGCAGCCTTGTCCCAAGAGCAGCATTCGCGCAGGGCGCTGCCTCCCGCCTCTAGCTGGGGGGCTGTGGTTCCCCAAGATGACAGCGGCTGCTCCCAGCTCCCAGCTCCCAGCTCCCAGCTCCCAGCTCCCAGCTCCCAGCTCCCAGCGGGCTTGCAGAGCGGTGCTGGCTTCCCCCGGCGTGGAGCAGGCCTGAGACCCCGGGGAGAAATGCTGGCTTTCCCCTTTAAAACTCCAGTTCACGTTCTGTGGGGCTTGGGAGACTTGAACGGTAAGCTCCGTGGACCATCGGTTCCATCCATTGACGGTGCAAAAGGACCTCGTGGTGGGATCCTCTGGGGCACAGCCACTGGGCTCCCTTCCTTAGGAATCGCTCTTTGTGTCTGTCGCTGTCATCTTGTGAACAGCTGTGTTCCCTGTGAGCAGGTTGAGTTCGCACAGGAAGTCCTTTCTGCTTTGAGCTAAAAACTTTTAAAATTTTCAGGAAGATGCTCTAGATAACAATCAAGGAGGGAGCATGCACATTCCAGATCAATCAAATGCACTTCGTTCCACTGCATTTGGCTTCCAAGGGGGGAGAGGGGAGGGGGAGGGGGAGAATAAAACTAGAAAGAATGGAACACATTTGTGGGGGCAATTCTGCTGGTGTTGTCTGAGATTGCACGTTGCCAACAATTCTCTCTGGACATGCAGGGGGCCCTGTGGGCTGGGGCCCGGGAACACCACAGCCCGTCTGACAGGAACAGAAGCTAGCAGGCCAGGAAGCTTTTCATCCCATCCGACCCGCCCTTAATTTGTGGTCCAGGGTGGAAGAGAGGGGGGAGTACAGGGCTCAGCCTTGCTGTGCACGCCTCGGCCGTATCTGCAGATGGCCATTCTATGTGCATGGTTCCGTAGAAGCCTCCAGAATCTTTTCTTGGTAGAGCCTTGATAGAGTTGTTCCTAAGAAAAGACAGAGAAGCCACCTAAATTAAATGCCCCGCTGTGGCGCCCCTTTGCAGCTGTGGCCAGCAGGCCAGCGCTCTCGGCAGTGGGCGTGCTGCCCTTCCCTTGAGAAGAGCAGCGCCTCCTCCTTGATGCCCAGCGCTTCAGGGTGGGTGCCGCCCCTGCTCCGATGCTGGCACATCTTACTGAAAAATTAAATTGCAAAATAATGGAGGTTCTTTTATTAAAAAGAGAGTGAATCCGTGAAAATAAAAACATTGTACATTCTTCTGATGTTGTGGCCATAGTTGGTATATTGGAAATTAACCTATTGATTTAGATAAAAATAATCATTTACCCCCAAAATAAATACAGTAAATTTTTGCACTATAAGAATTTCTTTGTTACAAAGGGGAACATTTGGTTGTCTGCGGTGAGATGGTGGCTTGCCAGCTGTTTTAAGTTAAAAAAGCATTTGGTGCCAATCTGTAACTTCCTATTCCGATAAACACTGCGCCCCGTGCTCATGTATAAGGTGGGCTGGATCTTCCGTCTGTCCATCTGTGCATCTAGCCTCTATCTACTGACCTACCCATCTACCTGTCTGTCTGGTATGTGTATTTACAATGGGCAGATGTCTCTTTAGAAGCTGAACTGATTTCTAAGACATTAGTTATTTTTGGTTATGGTTTTTCTTGGAAAATAGCTGCTTTTCATCAAAAGGGAAGGTGATAGTTGTCATGTTGTCAGAGTCCCTAATGTTCTTTAACAAGGTAAATGTACGCATGCACACGTGTAATTATTAACTTTTTTTTAAATTGATTTCAAACAATGTTTTAGTTTTTATTTTATGTGGTTTGCAAGTGGCTCCTTTATTGACGAGGTAAAGACTCAGGACAAATGCCCTCTGGTTCCCTCCTCCTCTGCTCCTGCCACTGGCCAGTTCATGAAAGAAAGATTGTTTGCTGCTCTCTGCTCAGTGCAGCTAAGCGTTTTCCCACAAGTCAGTGCCTCCAAGAGAAGCAAAATGTGTGAACAACACACATAATTTAAATGTCTTCATAGTCACATTAGAAAAGAAAAATTAACAAGTAAAATTAATTTTAATATGTTTCCTTTAACCCAATATATAAAAAGTGACTGTGTAAAGATATATCAAACCAAGTAAAATAAGACATATATGCTTTTTCATGCTAAGTCTTACAGAATATCTCAATTTTGACTAGCCACATTTCAGGAGTTCAGTAACCCACGTGGCTAGTGGCCAGTACAGCTATAGATTTTTAGCCTTTTGACAAAGCAGTTTAAAAGCTGAGATATTAAGGGCCATTGCATTAAACCAATTAAACACCATCAAAAATAAATTTACATACGATCTCAAATTGCTCTAGTTGTATGGTCTTGAACCTCCTTTGCTTATTTACTTCTTTATCAGTAAACAAGAGGGCTGGTCAGCTATAGCCCCTGATTGTACAGACTGTCACCAGTGGACAGACTCGTGGACGGGACGATCCGGGCAGCTGCGTCTGCTGCAGCGGAAGCCGGGCAGGCCTCGGTGTGCATGGCCCTCGTGCTGTGGGACTAGTTTGCTTCAGGCCGGTCTCTGATCATAGTGTCAGCAGTGAGACTCCTGTCCCATAGGGGACCAGCCAGTGTTGCTGTCTACCTCCCTCTCCTGGGCACTGGGCGCACAGCCCGCGATGGGGTGCGGTGGGCCTGGACCGGCGAGGCAGAGCTGTGAGCCGTATCCTTCACTGCTTGGCATGTTTTTCATGTTTTTGATGTTTGTATCTGTGCATGTCACACCATTAGGTAAAGCCGGTGACAGGTGAATGCTGTGTGACTGGCCGGGAATACTCCCCCTGACACACGGAAGGCCCGCCCCTTGTGGAGATGCGGTTCAGCCGGGTGGCTCCTGCTGTGCCTGCTGAGGGCTCTGTCCCGGAAACCGTGAGGGGGAGAACGAGACGGGCGCTTAGTATGGAAGGAGCTTGTGCAGTATTCTAAAGCTAACTCATGTTTGGAAAGTGATTTTTTTCTGAGAAAGAGAACACAACTTTCTAGCCGGCCTAAGTGCTCACACGCACACGCACATGCACACGCACACGAGTCCTCTCTCCTCCCTTCACTTCTGAAGCGGGGGTCCCCGCACCCCGCAACTCGGACTGAGGGGCCCTTGGAGGGAAGCTCTCCTTCGGAGGCCATCTTTCAGTTCCGTTTACTGATAAAGAAGTAAATAAAAGGTTCACGATCACACAGAGCAATGTGAGATCATCTGTGAATTTATTTTTGAGGGTTTAATGTATTTACCTGTGACTTTTGGTTTTGGAGTTTACCCTCAGACGATATGAGCAGAGGGGAAACGGAGCGTGCGGCGGTCCCTGGACCGGACCAGAGCCAGGCGCTCTCAGTTCTCCATCGGACCCAGCAGCCAGCTCTGCGGCATTCTCCTTTTGTATAAACTGTGCCTCATCTTCTCAGCTCCACCCCCCAGCCACCCCCTCTGGCCACGGCGCACGCACCGGAGACCCGGGGGCAGCCCCTTCCTCCTTGCCTGTGGGAGTCCCTGGCACTGACAGAAGATGTGCTCCTCGTTTGGGCCCCTTTGGTCTTCATTGGGTTCTTGACCACAGAATGAATGAGGGGCCACAGACTGTAAAACTGGCATCGCTGTCTTAGTGCAGCCTGCAAGCCAAGGAGGGTGGGAAGGCTGAATGCTAGAAGTGACTGTGACCTAGATTTTGAAAAGAACCTAAATTTCCCAGGAATCACGACAACCAAGTGTCTGTATATTTTTTCTTCTCTCGGGTGGGTTTACAGATGACACTGCATCTCTTGTTTTGTTCTTCCATCTTTTCATGTTTAAATTTGTCTAAATATACCAATAATTTCAAGATGCAGAAGTAAATCAGATTAGTGTAGCACATATTTAAACATAAAGAATGAAAATGGAAATACAGGAGAATTTTTAATAATCTCAGAGGAGGAAAGAATTTTCTAAGGATGATCCCAAACTGGGATACTAAACAGGAGAAGTTTGTTACATTTGACTGCATAGAAATTTTAAATTTCTGTCCAGAAAAAATAAACAACAACATCACAAGACACATGACAGCTGGGAGGGAATATTAGCAACATATTTCAGATGAAGTCTACTTTCCTGAACACAGTGGGTCTCAGATTCTGGGAGTGTCTGAGTCACCTGATGGGCGTGTTAAACCTGAGACGCTGGCTCCAGTCACAGAGAGGGAGTCAGCACACCGACCGCCTTCACACGGGACAAGTGCCGTCTGTGCCAGCTGATAGGAAACGGAGCAGATAGCAAGAACACGCAGGTCTCAAGCCTACAAACAAAACCACTTTATCATGAAAAGATGCCCAGTGTCATACAAATTAAACAACTGCGATTAGATCAATAATGAGAAACAGATTTCTTTTTCCATCGGAGAAGATGAAAGAGTTTGCTAATACACTGGATACGAAAGGCCTGAGGAGCTCGCACTCTCGTACACATGGGGGGCACGTCGGTGCTAATTTTCGGGGATAGTTGCAATGTACCCCATCGTTAAAATGCACATACCCTTTGATCCAGCAGCTCCACGTAGAAGAGCGTATTC